CTTCAGACAGGGAATACATGATATGGTCTCTGTCATTTTGACAAATGTCTTCCTTTGTTTCCATGGGGAATGCAAAATAGGCAGGTAGGAGGAATGTGGCATATTTAGCATAATCCATGGTACTTGTCTTTTGTTCTTATCTAAGCCAGGCATACCCTAGGTCAAGTAACCCCAACACTGGCCTTTTAACTTCCTTGGATTATTGTGCTCCCTGAAAACCTGTATCAGGTCATTGTGACTGTCAGTCCTGCTCCACACTAGATATTAATTATGAACACCCTATATTCAGAAGGAGAGGTGATGGGATATGCTAACATGGCAGGCAAAGACCTTTTTATTCAGGCAAACCTCTGGTTTATAACTTATGTGGCAGAAAAGGCTTTTAATAGGATTGTGCTTTAATATTTTTTACTATGTTTTAATTGAGTTTTATATTGTTTTAACTATGTGGTTTTAAAACTAAACTGTAATTTAATTTGTTAAATTTTTTTGCAGGAATACTTTTTTTAAAGTGCATCCATTTTTTTAAATGTTTGAAAACCACCTTGGATCCTGTACATGGAAAAAGGTGGGATACAAAATCATTTAAATAATAAATACAATAAATTCGCAATATAGTGCCAGAATGTTTGTGTTATAAGCCAAAGTTTTGTGAATGCATTGCTAATGTAATTATCACCATTAGTCCTTTTTGCATTTGATTAACAGACCTTGCTGGACACAGTCCCACCTCCAACTATGGGAATCTTATGCTTATGTAGAATTCTGAATTCTGAATAACAGTCCTTACATCTGATGAAGTGAGCTACTGTCTGTGAACACTAATAATTAATGTGCTAATTGTTAAGGTGCATAGCATTCTTTGTTGATTTACTGCAAAGGGAAAAGGAACCCCAGACCATATGGATTATACCAGGGACAGGGCATGTGTGCCCCTCTAGATGTTGATAGACTCCAACACCCATTACCTACAGGTGTGACAACCATATTTGGCTAAGGTAGCAAGGCCTAAAAGGAGTTGCAGTCCAGCAGCATCAAAAGGGCCACATGTTCCCTAGCTATAATTTACAAATTTGTTGTTGTTGTAGTTATCCACCCTCCAGTCAATCTCGTCCCATGGCAACCCTGTAGATGAGACATCTCCAAGATTCCCTGTCCTCCACTGCTCTGCTTAGTTCCTGCAAATTCATACCTGTGACGTCTTTTATAGAGTTCATCCATCTAGCATCCATCCTCTCTTTCTGCTTCTGTCCACTTTTTCTAGCATCATTGTTTTCTCCAATGAGTTGTGCCTTGTCATGATGTGACCAAAGTACAACAGCCTGTGAGTCTAGTCATCTTGGCTTGTGGTTTGATCTGCTTTCTTAACTGTCCAGCTATCGCATCCATACAATGGTTTATACGATTCTAAATTTCATGCTCAGTTGTATATCTTTACATTTTAAATAGCAAGTCCTAAATAATCTCAGATTACTAGTTAAAGGAATTTTACAGAGTGGCAAAGTGGGAAGGTGTCCTGCCTCAGACCATGGAAAAGCATAAAAGACAGTACTGTAAGAGTTCATGTGCTTTAGTGGATTCAGTGCTGGACTAAGAGTCTGGAACACCAGAGTTCAAATCCCTATGGAAACCCAGTGGGTGACCTTGGACATGTCACACTATTTCAGCCTAATAGGAAGGCAAGGGCAAACTTTCACTGAATAAATCTGGTCAACAAAACCCTAGGATAGGGTCACCAGGATAGAGTCAGCTTGCAGGCACATAGTAACAACAATTAGCTGGAAAGGACCTATGACTTGACACTGTATAAAGCAGCTCGATATGTTCAGGTATATGAGACATGTGTAGATTAAGAGAGAGTAATCTTCCACTGAATAATCACATGTGTCTATATAGCAGAGCCATACACTCAGTTTCACCATGTATGCCACAGTTAGTTTGGGATCTAGTAATAGATCTCCAGATAATTTATAGTATGGTAGATTAGAAAATTCAAATTCCAGTGGGTTCATCATCATCATCATCATCAACAACAACAACAACAAAAACCACATTTTCCCATCCTGAATTAGACTGCTGTAATCAAGAAAGCTTAGGGCAAAACATAAGTAGAGCTGTATGTGAAAGGACATCTATGTAAGCCCAATTCATGTACTGAAAACAGATTGCTAGACTGAGTGTTTGCCTGAGAGGCATCTTGTTTTATGCATTTGTGCAAAACTTGGGAAAGGGAGCTTATTTTAATTCTCAGAATCCCCACCCAGCATGAATAACCATGATGGCTGGTAGATTCTGGGAATTGTATTATTTGTGTGTTTGATTTCCGGGCTTTCTCCCAATAGGGGACTGAAGGTGGCTCACAATAAAATATGTAACCCAAGCAAGTATTATTATTTTTTCTAGGCTGTAATTTTGTGTCTGCCTTCCTGAAACATTATTTTACATCTGATTTTGGTTCAAGGATCTTTGGATTCTAGGAAGACAACAAAAGGCAAAATACTGTAATGTTGCAAGCCTAGATTTTGCTCATCTCTGCTGTACATAGTAAAGAAAAGACACTGTGATTGACTCTAGGCCCACCCCCTGCTATCTGTCTTGAAGGATTCACAATACCATGGCAAATCAGCAGTATACCTAGGCTGCCTGAATTGGCCCTGTGAAACAGCAATAGGCATCTCTTTTACAATAGAAAAAGTATACATTGTTTTCCTTGTCCACCAGAAACTCCCTAATCTTAATGCTGAGTTACTTTTGAGAAGAAGATGAGGAGGGGAAAGAAATTATTCACAGCTGTATGTATATTAGCTTGCCACTGCACACATTTGACATGAGAAAAATGCCTTTTGTTCTCAACAAAAGAGACATGACCAATGAGTAGCCTTTTTGAGGATGACAGTGTTCAATAGAGATGGCGGCAGGCAAGGAGCAAAGAAAGGTTTTTAAGTAGCGACAATAGAATTTGCTAGAGAGGACCCCATTTATAGGGAGTGTTTTTTGTTTTGTCTAAAAGCAGCACACAAAATTCATCATCCGTGTCTCCAGCTTTACAGACAAACCTCATAAGTATAACAGTGTTTTCTCTTTATTTGAATGTATGCTATCATTTTGTTATGTGTATTGTGTGCCTTCGAGTTGTTTCCAACTTATGACAACCCTAAGGCGAACCTGTCACAAGGTCATCCAGAATGTTTCATGACACAGCAGGAAGAGTGCAAATATTTACACAACACACACACAAAATCACACACATACGATAAATAGCAGACACCCTTAGAAAGGCAAACAGCTTCTAAAGCAGCATTATACATAAAATAGAGACGTGGAATGTGAGAAGCATGAGCCAAGGGAAGCTAGACATAGTGAAAATGGAAATACAACGTATGAACATAGCAGTACTGGGGGTGAGTGAATTAAAATGGAGAGGCATGGGCCACTTTGAATCAGACAACTACACAGTGCTCTACACAGAAAATAAAAAGACAAAAGAAATGGGGTGGGTTTCATACTAAGAAAAGATATGGCAAAAGCAATCAGCAGATACAATGCAAAATCAGACCAAATCATTTCAGTAAGGCTCCATGGTAAACCTATGAATATCATCATAATTCAAGAGGCAGAGGCAAAACAGGAGGCAGAACAGGAAGAAATGATAGATTCTATGAAGGAGTACAGCATACAAACACAGGATGTCAAGCTAATCACTGGAGAGTGGAACGCAAAAGTTGGAAGCAAAGAGGAATAAAAAACAGTAGGCAGATTTGAATTAGGCAAAAGAAATGAAGCAGGTGTGTGTCTGATAGATTTTTGTGACGCCAACAACCTATTCATTGCCAACACATTTTTCATACAACCAGAAAGAAGGCTATACACATGGACCTCACCAGATGGTCAACACAAAAATCAAATAGACTATAAAATTGGAAGTAAAAGATAGCAGAACTCTATACTGGTGGCCAAGACTAGAGCAGGTGCTGACTGTGGCACAGATCACAAATTACTCATATCAAAAATAAGAATAAGACTTTTCAAGAAGAAAACAAAAGCAGAGATTATACCAAAATATGATCTAAATAATATCTCAACAGAATCTGACAACATAAGAAACATTCGCACTACTAAACATAATAGACTGAGAACCAGAGGAACTATGGTCAGAAGTCAGGGACATAATAAAAGAAGAATGTAGACAGACATTTTCAATA